CTGTACAACCATTCTAAAAATACTTAGAATAAAACAATCTTACATTTACTATTTCATTTCTTTATTTTCCTCTAAATAGAGTTATTTAAAGAACAATTTAGTGCCGGTCTTTAATTAGAGGGATTATAATTAGAGACCAAAGTTGTTAAAGACCACTAAATTTCTAGTCCAGAAAGTGGTCTTTATTTGGAGGGAGACCTGTACTTTGATTTTTTTTTTGTACATGTTTTCTTTTTTAAAGGTACCTCTCGGCCGAGTCGGGAACCATTGTCCTGTTGATAAAGGTGGTAACTATCCCGGGGTGCTTAATATCTGGCATCCATAGGGTTTTAGGCCCCTGGCTTTAGCTAGCGAGGGCTCATAGGCTTACGTTTTACGCCACTGTACTGGTACCTTTTAGTTTCATTTCATTGTATTTATTCGTTTTAAAAAAAAAACATTAACACAGTACAATACACAAATCATCATTCCATAAACGAGAAAAATGATTGCAAACAGAGAATTTAAAACAATCTGAGGAAATATGTCCTTTTATAGTAGATGAAACGGTGATGTTCCGAACTATTAATGTTCTTTAATTTATGACTTTATAGGCTCCTCCATTTACACGGCTTGTTTGATGATAGCGAATGATCTAAACAAAATTAAGAAATCGTTAAACTTAATCATCAGTTTTGTGCGTACCATGAGTTACATAAACTAATTAATGTCGTTATATTTCACATTAGTATGATTCACAGTTATAAATATAAATGCACATTGTTTAATTCTACACATCAACGCGGTATACATAGTTTACTTTCTCATACCATCCTAAGAATTTCCATATATTATAAACATATTTTACTTCTATAGACTCTTGTACTCGGTATTTACTAAAGCATGGTACTTTAATATTTTGCTTATATATCCTTAATTTTTATTGCTACTAAATAACTCAACAAGTGCTTAACCTTACCTTATTTTGTTTAGTTTTTTAATACATTGTATTGCATTAATGTTTAATTCATCAGGGAGTCTTCGCAAGCTTACAACTACCTTAACGAATACGGTAACGTCGTCTATTTTTAGAAAATCCTTCCAATACAATAGCATATCTGTCACAACCTGGGCGATTCATGTTTTTTTTTTTTTTTTTTTTTTTCAACTATCATATGCAGCTTGTGCAGCATATTGCCAAACATTTTTCAGGCACGAACGGTCCTAATCACACGCGCGCGCGAAAAGCCCTTTGAATTTAATGCTTTCTTAAGCCAGTTTTCCCACTAGGCGAATTGATTCGCGCGAATCGAAAGCGTCGGTTCATGCACATGCGCATTAAATTCCTACCGAAGTTTTTGCCAAGGAAAAAATGCGCAACCAATCAGAGATCTGGAAGCGAACCGACTCTTTGATTTGCGGGAATAAATTCCGTTTCTAAATTAACTTTCTCGTTGGTGGCGCTGTCCCGAATGAGTAAAATATTAAAAAAATAAGAGACTTGTGGCAAGTCTACATCGTTCCAGAAAGCCTCACTAAGAAGTAGGTTCGATATTGGCAATATATTTAATTCAAACATACGCCTAGTAATAATAAATGACCGAATTCTGAAATAATCTTTTCCATTTAATGGTTTCCAAGTCGAACTAAAGCAACAACCGATAGTCATATTTTCCATTTTATAATAATAAAACTAGTTACGATCAATAATATAATTTTTATGACATACCGTATAGTTGCTTAGATGAATATTTATGTTGGATATGCTAATATGTGCTCCGTAAATAAGAAAATAACGTTATAATCTCGTGTTTGTACCAAAACCCAAACATAGGTTGGTTGGTGACTGTAGTGGTTTTGATGACCATTGCCAAGTCTCTAACAATTTTTGTTCTCTCCAATTGTGCTCTATATTTAATTTTTATTTTTCTATATTTTATTATTATTTTATTTTTATTTTATCTTTTTGTTTTATTATTTTTATATTTTATTTTTATTTTATTTATGTTTTAATTTTATTTGTTTTATTTTATTCCTTATTTTTTTTGTTTATTTTTATTGTCAAGCGCATTGAGGCTTTAGCTTAATGCACTATATAGGCTAAGCCATAATAATAATAATAATAATGATGATGATGATGATAATGATAATGATAATAATAATAATAATAATAATAATAATAATAATAATAATAATAATAATAATAATAATAATAATAATAATAATAAAAGTAGTAGTAGTAGTAGTAGTAGTAGTAGTTGTTGTTGTTACGGTATTATATTATGATATTATTATATCAATTGAAATTTAACTTCGCTTTTAATCAATTTTCCTCTTTTATTCACGAAGCAGTTTTCTTTATGTTTATGGTGCCTTTAGACTATGTAGGCTAATGGAATAACAATAATCAGGCGGAAGCATTGTCTAGTTTTTAGTATGCACAGGCTTGCATTAGTTCAAGTGGTTTTGGTATTGGCTGTTTGTGACGTCATCTTTAGTAAGTGTATTATATGTATTACCTAAACACAAAATGCGATTGAAATACACGAATGAAGGAGAATTAGGGAATGTGATATTTAGTATTTAAAGCTTATGTGGTAATAATAATGTAATACCCATAAATCCATCAACTTGTCCATCTAATTATTTATCTTATATTCGAAAAACATCACTCATCCGTGACCATTCTACATTCTATCAAAGGTTCAACGCACAACGTAGATGTGAGCCTTACCAAACTGCGCCTAGAATTCAGACTACGAGAACTCAACGTCTTTGGCGATCTCATGCGCAGATGACTTCTTAGTGACGTTATTATGTTCTAGGTGGTTCCACCACGGTCGTGCAGCAATATATATATATAT